ATCACCTAACTTGGGAGGGGCTGCAAAGTATTATGTTGAATGAACTAACTCAGTCCCACAAGGACAAATACTATAAATCCATTATTGTAGAATGAGAATCCAAGTGGGGGGTGTTGAAGCAGAGGGGTGAGGAAGGGTGGGTGGGGGGGTGAGGAAGGGTGGGTGGGTGGGTGACGTTAATCATAGGGTTGCACAATTTAATGAGTGGGTGGGAGTAAAGGAAATCGGAAGTATCTTTTGTGAAAAACAAGTATTCAAACTCTGTTAAATAAATTTTTTAGAAAACCAAATAGACTGTTCTGTAATTTTTAAAAAATTTTGGTCTAATCTTTTCAGTCATGTGAATTTGATAGCCTTTCTTCTTGGGTTTCCTTCAAAGTTTTCCATTATAGAAAACAACAGATCTCTTCCTTTCTGCACTCCTATTTCACAGGTTTACATAATATTTAATTAAATTACTCAAATACAATGACAAGTAATTCTGGCATAAACAGGCGTGGAGCAAACAATGGTGGCTAGGTGAACCTGTCACACCCAAATACTGGGATTAGTGAGTACTTTGCTGGCCTGTGTTGCCAAGGGCATGGAACGCTTCAGGTAACCCAAGCATCTGTTTGTGAGGGTTAGGAGAACTTCTACCACAGTAACCTCTGGAAAAGCCTGAGTGACAGGACGCACTGCTGGGGAAACGCTGTTCTAGACCATGTTCCCTAAAGGGAAGCAATGCCACTGAGCCATGCTGTTGTGTCTTTGGCACACCCAACAACTAACCTAAAGATTAGTAGTTTGAATCTACCCTGGGACCACAGAAGAAAGCTCTGACAATCTCCCTCCATAAAGATTACCCACTATCCCAACCCCAAACCCTGTAGAGTAGTTCTCTGTAATACCTGGGGTCACTGTGAGTCATAACTGACTGAATGGTACAGATCAAATGTTCGCTTTTTCATCAACAATATTAATGTATGGCTTTGCATCTGTGCACCACTAGCTAATACTGCAGAAAACAAGGGGAGGCTTATCAGCAATAAGACAGTATCACATGGTTGTAATCATTACCTTGACATTAACAAAAATTGAAATTTTAAAATTTCCTTGATTTTAAAAATATTTAATGGCTTGCTTATTTATCTATCTATCATCATCTATCTATCTATCTATCTATCTATCTATCTATCTATCTATCTATCTATTTATTTGTTTATTTTTAATCTAAAGTAGCTAGGAAGGAGTTCTGGTGATATGGTACATTTAGGTGTTGCTCTGCTAATGAAAGGTGGGCAGTTTGAATCCACCAGCTTCCCAGAAGGCAGTCTCCTCTTAAACATTTCCAGTCTCAGAACCCTGATGGAGGGTTGCTATGAGTTGGAATCCAGACACCACTGGGTTTGGTGATCTGACATTTCCCCTCCTTCTTTTAAAAATGTAGCTGAGAATACACACGTACCAGGATTAGAAGTATCACCTCCACTATTTTCTGATTCTTCTTGTGGATGTTCGCCCCACAGTCAGTTCAGGACACCTCAGTGTGGAATGTGACAGACATGTGCCTTCTTGCATATGGGTTTGATCTATTTAGAGGTTCTAATATTTTCTTCCCACTTCCCTGGGGACAGATGCACCTTACTTTGGGGACCTCTGACTTTACAAATACTCAGAGAAAATTAATTAAAAGTCATTTCAATGTCAAAGATGGATGCTTTGAAACAGAATTTTTTAAGGCTTTTGCAGGTGCATCTCATACACTTTGGGCATGTTGTTAGGAGGGACCAATCTTTGGAGAAGACCATCAGGCTCAGAAGGGTGGAGGGACAGCGCAGGAGAGGGGGACGCTGGAGGAGATGGATCCACTCAGTGTCTGGGGTAATGGACTAATTAATCAATCAATCACCTAAAGACTCTATGCCAACCTTATCACCTACTATTAAACAAAACCCTGTCCTTCCCTTTCCCTTCTACCTGTTCCCTACCAGAAACTTCTTATCGAAAGCCCTTTACAAGCTCTGCAGATAGCACACAGAGCAAGCAGAGCAGCCACAAAACAAAGTGCTCCCTCCTTTCTGGGTGTTTCATAGGCTCCAGCTATGCAGATGGCTGCACCTGCCGTGCTTGTGGATTGTCTCCAAGGACGCTGCCAGGAGCTGCCAGGATGCAGCAAACAGCACAAACAATAGACTGCTTTGTATCATGTTGAAACCATGTTCTGTAACGAGAGCTCAACCACTCTCTGGTGACATTCAGAGACATCCAGCCTGGGAGTGACTTGCCTTCTACTCCCACAGGCTGTTTACAAACTTGGTTACTGGAAGAATTGCTCAAATGACCCTGTCTTATGTGAGGAAAGTGGTTAGTAATTAGCATTACAATGCCTGTCGACTTTGCCTCAGACAACTCGTCACTATTTCAAAGGTTATGGATTTTCCTATAGAACTTTTATGAATCAGAAGCAGCTGTTGTCTTTCAGAAAAGGACTATTTATATAGTTTTCAGGGGCCGGTACAAATAAAGACTCAGAATGTCTTGTTCAAAACGCAGGAAAAAAGTGTCTCTAAAAATAAAAAATGTAAAGCGCTTCTCTTTCTTCTGCATTCTCTCTCTTTTGGCCTGCCAGGATGTTTATATTTTTGGTATTTAATGCCTTCCTGCCTCAGGCACAGAGATACTGGTAGAGGAAGTACAGACTCTTACAGGCACCCAGGGGCTCTGCTCCACCACTCCAGGCATGAATGTGTGCAACCTACCAACTGCCAGATTAATGTTCCACACTCCAGCTGAATGAGGAGAGTCGATCTAGGCTTCTCTCTTCTCATGAGAGGTGAACAGGGGAAACTCAAAGCTGGGATCTTGAAAATACTTGGATCAAGGGCAAGGCAGAAGCTCGCCCTTAAAGAGGCAGCCACCAGACCCATCATGGTGCTACCTGCTGGGGTCACTGAGATGTTCATAGTTCCCTCTAGCCTACCGTGTGCTTAGAATCCCACTGAGGAGCAGGAAGGAAGAGGTCTGAGAATATGTTCCGTGTAGGCAGCTAGGTATGAGACTGCCTGTGAACAGAGGCTTTAATGCCTCCATGCTCTAGTGATCCGTTCGATTCACTTAAGAGACACACATTCTAAGTAGAAATTATTAAGAACTTCATGATATTAACACAAAGCATTAAGCCTAATGGGTCCTTCTGTGCCCCATACAAATTTGGATTGCTTTTCTATCCCAGGAGCTCTGGTGGTGCAGTAGTAAAGGTCTTGGAGGTTCAAGCTCATCAGCCATTCTGAGAAAGAAGATAGTCTGCTTTCATAAGGCTTACAGCTTGGAAACTATGAGGTTTTTCCACTCTGTCCTATTGTTGTTATGTGCCATCAAGTCACCTACAACTCATCGTGACTCTATGTACAGCAGCTCTGAAGCCTGGCCTGTCCTAAGCCAGTCTCACTGACTTCCTGACTCTGACACACCTACCTCTATTGCCCCAGTTACCATATCAATCCATCTCATCAGGGTTTTCCTCTCCTGCCCTTCTCCCGTGATTGGTCCAACCTGGCCATAAGCCCAAATTATGTGACAGAATTTAAAATTCCTAGCCTCCAAGGAAAAATCTGGTTTCACCCTTTCCAAGACGAACTCGTTTGTTTTCTTGGCCTGTAGGGTCACAAGGACGTCTCCAAATTGTTGAGGAGTCATGATGTCAGTTTGAGGACTAAGGTGCATCTGATTTAGGTCATAGTTTTTCTGATCACTTGCTATGCATCTGAAAGCTGGACAATGAATAAGGATGACAGAAAAATAATTGACACCTATGAGCTGTGGTGTTGCAGAGGAGCACTGAGAATGAACAGATATGTCTTGGAGAGGGTGCAGCCGGAGTATTCTGTGGAGGCAAGAATGATGAAGCTTTGCCTCACATACTTTGGGCATGTGTCCTTGAAAGGGGACACAATGTTGCGAAGGGTGAAGGGTTGGCAAAGGAAAGAAAGACCCTCAACCAGGTGGATTGACAGGGTGACTGTAACAATGGGCTTTTATGTGTCAGGAAGTACAAGTTAGAACAGGGTTTTAGATCTTTTGTACATAGGGTCACTATGAGTCCTATTCAACTCAACACCACCTAAAACAAGTGTCACCATAGGTTAGAAGTAACTCAGTGGCAAAGGGTTTCTTCCCATCCCAAGTGTATATAAGACTCTGCCATATTATGTGTGAGTGAGTACTTACACATGTTACAATACGTGGGGTTTTTAAAAATATTTTTTAAATTAATTTTAATAAACATTTACAGAGATTTTGGATTTCCATTCATTCATTGCCACACTTTTCTCCTTGCTCACCCCTCCCCACCAGTTTGCTCCCCTCTCTGAAAAGAAAAAGAAAAAAAAATTCTTTCGTTGGTATACAATTCCCCCATCCCTTTTCCCCCACCCCCTGCCCCAAGTACACTTCTCTCTGCAACCTTAATTCTGGATTTCTGTGCTAACCATAATCCTCAATCACATTATCACTTCTAATCTGTTCTTTCCCTCATCTGTTTCAATACAGTATACATAATTTTTTTTTAATTTAGGTTGTTTATTTTTCATTTCAATGAACATCTACAGAGATTTTGGGATTCCATTCATTCATTGTTGCACCCTTCTCCCCGCACAAACCCCTCCCCCCTCCCCCCCCAGTATACATAATTTATCCAGTTTTTTCTCAGTCTTACCCCAATCCTGATGTCAGACCCGCTCTACAACAGTGGCATCATGCAGTATTTGTCCCTTTGTGATTGAGAGAGTGTTTCCCCATTTTAGCTTGAGAATAACAAATGACAGTGTTAAAATCAAAGTTAATGTGTTTTCTGCTTAACTTTAACTGGCAGAAAATAGATTAAAATGTTAATAGCATTCATCTCTGGGTCAAGAGTGAAAAGATTTCTGGATATTGACGTGTTTTTAAAATGAATATAGGTTTATGGATTGTTCTTACGGTTAGAAAAAACATGTACATATTTATTTTGTAAAACATACCTGTAGGGAGAGTACACTCCTCCTTGGACTTTTCAGATATAACTAATGTCATGTCTCTGTTGACTTTTCTTAATACTTCTTGGATCATATGGATTTCAAGACTTTCCAGGAGTTTCTGAAGCTAGAATAAGCACAGGTTGAGAGTTACTCTCCACTTTCAGTGTTGTTGTTACATGCTATTAAGTTGTTTGCAACTCATAGCAGCTCTGTTTATGTACAACACGTCTCAACCCTGCCCTATTTTGAGTCAATTTCTTGTCTCTGACACACCTACCCCTTTTCCCCTGTTATGAGTCAATCCATCTCCTCTAGGGACTTCTTCTGTGTTGTCCCTCCACTCTTGCAAGTATGATGTCCCTCTCCAAGTCCTGGCCAAGTGTCCAAAGTATGTGAAATGGAGCTTCAAAAATCTTTGCCTCCAAGGAGTAACTTGGTTTCACCCTTTGCAAGACAGACAGACCTGTTTGTTTTCTTGGCAGTCCATGGTTTGTTCAACACTTTTCTTTAGCACCACAACTCAAAAGCATCAATTCTTCTTCTATCATTCTTAGTCATTAACCAACTCTCTGATGCACAGAAAGTAATTGAGAAGACTATCAGGTGCACTTTAGTCTCCAGACTGGCATCATAGTTCTTCAGTTCTCTAGAGAGGTCTTTTAATTTCCTGGCTGCTAGTGCCAAGAGTGTTGATAATGGAACCAAGTAAACTGAAGCTGTTACCAATCTCAGTCTCTTCTCTGTCTATCATAATGCTGGCAATTGACCTAGAGATTACATTCTCTTAAATTCCTCCAGAAGGAACTTGCAATATGTCCTGTCCTTCAGCTGTTCTCTCCTGTGAACACGGGAGGCTCCTTTCTTGGATTTTTTTGTTGCTCTGGCAGGTAGACACACCTCTGTGGAGACTGATATCTTTTCTTCCTGCCCCACTGAGAAAATCCAATATTTAAAATAATTTTTATTATAATAGTTTATTTACAAAATTAGAATACGTTGTTTTCCAGAACAGTTTCTTCCAATTTTCCTCACCCCCCATC